GCAACGACTGCAGGGCCAGACCGCATGTATGCCCTGGCGCAGCTATGCCTCCACCGGTCCAGACCGTTACCCGCGCTGACAGCCTGCAACTGGCACGTGCTGTCAGTGCACGGGCGGCCACAACTGACATTCTTTCCATGGGACTTCCTGTCAGTTTGATGGCCTCACAGCCCGCCCGTCACAACAGGCTGGCGCATTGCACTCGCATCGAATGGTCTGCGCATGGCGCGCGACATCAGCGCGGCCGCGCCGGCGAACGCTGCCTTCAGAAAGGGGCTGATCGAGCCTTCTTCTCCCTCTTGCGCGCCGTCGCCGCATGCGTGAAGGAGCCGAGGGCGCGCTTGTGCGCCACCCGCATGTCCGCGACGGTGGCCTCGTCAGGCTGCGCGAGTCCTGCCGCCTCCAACGCCTCCCGCAGCTCGGCGGACTCCACGAGGTCGATGTCGATATCCATGTCGTCCCTGGCGGCTTCCTCAGCGAGGACCTGCGCCTGGCCCGCGGGGAGAACGGCGGTGGAAGCAACCCCATCCTCCTTCTCCAGCAGGAGTCGCGGGAGCAGGGGCAGCAGGGGACACCTGTGCCGCCAGCGGCTTCGCCTGGGGAAGCCCATGGAGCCTCCCGAAGACTTTGGCCGCCGTCTCCAGCTCCGCCTGAAGGCCGGGGCCCAAGCCGAGCTCCACGGCCAGCTCGCAAAGCTGCTGGACGCCGACAGCAAACTTCGGCAGCAGCTCATGGAGCGCGGTCTTGCCAGCAGTGGGCGGATGGGCTCGGTCGGCGCCCAAGCGCTGGACCTCCCCCAGCCGCGCGACTTCGACACCTGCCTCGGCCGGGGAGTCCTGGAGCAGCGTCTGCTTGGCCACCAGCTCGTCGATGACCAGCTGCTTCTTAGCGTGCTCCTCGCGAAGGCGCTTGGCCTTAGCACGGGAGTTCCGCGGCCTCGTGGCGATGGGGGGGTGACCTGATCCTCCAGGGGGCGCTCGGCGTCGAGCTCCCTGCCCAGGCGCTCCTTCGATTCGGCGAGGGACTTGACCTGCGCCAGGTCAGAGGCCACTGAGGATCCATCATAGACCTTGAGAGCTCATTGATCTTCTTGATGCGGTCACGCTTGGCCTGCTTCTCCGACGGGTCAGCGGTGCCTCCGTTGTCACCAGCGGGGGGCCCATGGGGGCACCCACTGTCCAATCCGACGCCAGCCCCAGCATTAGAAGCACTCCCCCCAGCAGCAGCAGCCGCCCAAGGAAGCGACTTGGTGACCGTGAGCTTCCTGACCATGGCCTGAAGGTCGGCAAGCTGCTTAGCCATGGGGGCGGTGTCGGGCATATCCTTAGATGCCTTAGGTGAGCCCTTGGACATGGTCGCAGGGCTCCCTTTCGGGCGTTTTGGGACCACCGTAGCAGACTCCTTCAAATAGGTTGCATTTGGAGCACTGCTTGAGATCGCCACGGTTGGTCCACGGCGTGCCATCCCTCGTGACGCCATCCTTGCAGCGCCAGGGGTCAAAAGCGAGGCGGCGCGACGTGGCGGCGCCGTGATGGATGTGCAAGGCCAGCCAGGCCGCAGTACCCGTTTATAGTCCAGGACTCCTGGGGCCGCCACCCAGGAAACCCAGAAGCCAGAACTTGGCTCGCAGGAGAGAAGTAGCCCTTCCCAATGTTTCTACCCCTGCAGACCCGACTCGGGCCAGAAAGGGCCGAAAAAAAAGGAGAAGGAGAAGGAGGCGGTGGATGAGGAGGAGGAGGAGGAGGAGGAGGCGGTGGAGGAGGAGGGGGAGAAGAGGTGAGCACTTCGGGCAACCGCCCCGCCCAGAGCACACGGCCCGCGGTGCGCCCATGCAGTGACTGAGAACACCCAGCAGCCCTGTGGCGAGCGTTGCCTTATTCGGCGGATCGGCATTGGGCAGACGGGGGGGGGTCTGGCTCTGCTTAACGTCCTCCCTCCTCCCTCCTCCCTCCTCCCTCCTCCCTCCTCCCTCCTCCCTCCTCCCTCCTCCCTCCTCCCTCCTCCCACTGTTTACAGCAGTGCGTCAGATGGGGGAGAGACCCCACCTGCTCGAAACAGGCGCCAAACCAGACAGCATCTACTCCATGGGGGGGGGCAGAGGGGGATGCGAGGGCCCGCGCCGATCGGCAAGACCACAAGTCAGACATCAACGACCAGGGACACACAAATGGATAAACACAAACCCCAGGATTCCCCCTACTGTCCCACATGGTTTCTGGGTGTTCGTCCGCCCCCCTTCCAAAAGTTGTCCAGCTTTTCTTGGCAATCGACGATTCACTGTGTTTGTGTGTATGTGTGTTTCCCGTCCTGAAGAACATCGTTCTGTGGCAATTCATGGGAGCCCCTCGTACCATCTTGCAGGCGTTTGCGAATCGATGCCCGATCGACGCTACCTCGGCGCTGAATCGACGCCCATCGACGCTCTTCGACGCTAAGTTGGTGTTCAGTTGGCGTCACATCGTCGATTATCAGGCGCTAATCGACGCGAGTGTACTCTGAAGACCGAATTACGGAGGCACACAAGGCTCCTAAGATTTGAAACCGAACTTCAAGCGCAGCTAAATATCGGTACCTTCCCCGTTTCTCGCCATCGCGTCTCTTTACGGGTGGATATTTGATAAGGGAAAGCCAAACTCGGCGCGTCCCTACATGGGTTCCATGTTATGATTCATCAAGATCAGAACATCGGTACCTTCCCCGTTTCTCCTCAGCCATGGTCTACCCTGCGAGTTCCCAAACGTGTTTCTTTCAAGTGGCGTTTTGATCGCGGAGAAGTAACTGACGATGTTCCCTCACACCTGCTACATGTTCTGATCCTTCAGGTGCAGAACATCGGTACCTTCCCTTTTTCTCCCCAGCCATGGTCTACCTTGCAAGTTCCCAAACTGGTTCCCTCCAAATGAAGAGTAGCAAAGAACGGCTTTCCCATTGGCTGCGTCAATCTTCAAGTCTTTAAGCTGGTGCCCGATGGCGTGGCGACCTCCTGATTCACTTCCCCCACGTCCTCCAAATACTTTCCCGACCATGGTATTCAGTGTGTTCACCTCTTGCATCGGCCATGCCGAATAATTGAGTGTGCCCCGTCTCGAATGTTTGGACCACCTCAACGAGCGAGAGCGACTTCCCATCCGAAGCGATCGGGCCATTGGTGAGGTCCTCGAGCCGAACGCCCTGGCATCCCTCTGCAAGGTTAGTCCCATGGACGTCCCACCTCCCGAGGCGATGGGTTCGATCGACATCTGTGCGAGGCACAACCCGACGTATGGAGGTTAGACGGGGGACGCGATGCCGACGCACGGATCAGCCGTGCTGGGCTGAGCCGAGGAGCACCGTGAGCCAAGGCGGCTACTTGAACGGCTGCGGAGGTGGAGGGGGGGAAGGGAGGAACCGGAGGAGGTGAAATTCTGACGCTTCAGCGGCTGGACCGCTCTGAGCTCGACCAAGAAAAAAGAGGAGGTGAAATAGTTCGATGGAATCCGCTGGTATCCACGCAGTGGCAGCGAATTCGGGAACGAACAGCTCTGGGAGGGGAGGCCCACGGAGGGCGGCCTCCCGTCCGACGGAGCCCTCGCCGCGGGCTTCCGTAGCTCGCGGCGGGTCCCTGCGGCCGGGGAGAGGCCCTGCTGAATCTGGCGGGGGTTCTCGTGCCCGTTCTTGCTGCGGGGCAGGGAGCTCACTGCAGCGGAATGGCGCGGGGCCTCGGTGGCCGTTCTGCCACACGCCATGGACAGGGCGGAGGGAGCGACCGAGAAGTGCCCAAGCGGGACCCTGTCCCGTCCAGCAGGCTCAGTCTGAGCCTGACTCGATCCCCTCTCCCTGGGCCTGAGGCGCAGCTGCGGCGTCCTCACGCCTCAACGCCTCCACCACCTGGAGGGTCTGGGAATCCGCTTCCCCCCATTGGGGGGATGGATTAGCAAAGGGTCGCACGGAGGGCAAGACCACTCAACGCCGAACCAGAAAGTCGAGTCGAATCGAACCGTGCGTCGGATCGGACCACGTCGGCACAAGATCGACATCGAATCGGGTCGGCTGCGCCGGGGTGCGTAACAACACCATGGGAAGGAACATCGGCCCGCATCGGGCCGCCGGGAAGTCCAAATCGGATCGAGTCGAGGCCAGAAAATTCGACATGGAATCGTATCGATCGAGTCGAGATGGCCCAGGGATGGGTGGCCTATCGGGCCCCTATCTGCGATCCATAGGCGATTGGGGGTCGATGCATCCCTCGCTGAGCCTATCCCCCCTCATCGCTGCCCCTGAATACAAAAGGTGGGGAAGGAAGGGGTGGAGAGGTCGCAGGGATGAGGAACGACAGGAGGGGTCACGCCCTGACAGCCATCCTCGCCTCGACCCAGGCGCGCCTGCAGAGAGGAGTAAGAGGAGGAAGACGAGGAGGAGGAGGACGACGACGACGACGAGGAGGAGAAAGAGGAGGAGGACGACGACGACGAGGAGGAAAAGCAGGAGGAGCAGGAGGCTGAGCAGGAGGAGGGAGGAGGAGGAGGAGGAAAAGGAGGAGGAGGAGGACGAGGACGAGGGAGGAGGAGGGAGGAGGAGGCGGAGGAAGAACGCTACAGCCTCTCGGCTCAAGTTCGCCCAACGTCCAAAAAAGGAGGCGGAGGGAGGAGGAGGAGGCGGAGGAGGAGAAGGAGGCGGAGAGAGGCAGAGGAGGAGGAGGAGGGAAGGGGGAGGAGAAGGGAGGAGGAAAACGAGGGGGAGAAGAAGGGAGGAGGAAGACGAGGGGGAGAAGGAAGAGGAGGAGGAGGGAGGAGAAACAGGAGGAGAAGCAGGAGGAGCAGGAGGAGCGGGAGCAGCAGGAGGAGGAGGGAGGAGGAGCCGGAGGAGGAGCAGGAGGAGGAGGGAGGAGGAGCAGGAGGCGGAGGAGGAAGGAGGGAGGAGCAGGAGGCGAGGCAGGAGGCGGAGGAGGAAGGAGGGAGGAGGAGCAGGAGGCGAAACAGGAGGAGGGCAGGGAAGCGGGGGGAGGAGCAAGGAGGGCACTCCGGACGTGGAGCGGCGGGGGCAGCCTGGCGCACGCGTCCCAGCGGGCCCAGCAGCCGCCCCGCACGTGGTGCGGCAGGGGGCGCGCGGCCCCCGAGGGCCGGCGGTAGAGGACGCAGACGCCGCAGTCGAAGCCCTCCGCCTCGAGGACGACGGGACGACGACGCCGACGGCGACGCCGACGCCGACGCCGACGACGACGACGCCGACGCCGACGCCGACGCCGACGCCGACGCCGACGCCGACGACGCCGCCGCCCGACGAGGACGATACCGACGACGACGACGACGACGACGACGACGAGGACGAGAACGAAGACGACGACGAAGACGAGGACGAGGACGAGGACGACGACGAGAACGAGGACGAGGACGAGGACGAGGACGACGAGGACGAGGACGACGACGAGGACGAGGAGGACGACGACGACAACGACGACGACGACGACGGGGACGACGACGGGGACGACGAGGACGCAGACGCGGCAGTCGAAGCTTCCCGCCTGAGGACGAGGCGGAGGAGGGAGGGGCCCCTTTCGTTATGTTCATAGACTGGCCGACCTCCGACCTCCTCCCCCCGCATCACCGCTCCACGTGCGCCCCCGGAGGTGGGTACGTACTCCACCTCACCTACGGCACGCAGGCCCGACTCGCAGAGCGGAGTAGCGGGGGGGAGGGTCCGCAGGCCCCTTTGCCCGTGCAAGAGAAGGAAGGAAGGGGTGAGGTGAGACGTAGAAGGACATACTAGTGCTACGCGTCCTCCTCGGGGGCGAACGTCCGACCCGCACACGTTTTGCCACAACCATCTTGCAGCGTACCGTTTCCCAAGCGGTACGGCCAGAAAGCGCCCGCCAGCGACCGTGCACTGTAGGAGTTCCGGCCCGCTCACCGCGGAAGTCCTCCACGTGTGAGCGCTCCCCCCCCCACCCTTCGCGCGGCCGCCCTCCTCTTGGCCTTCCCCACTGGCACGCTGGACGCTTTGCCGATCGGTTGCCCCAGTTTAACCAGTTTGGAATTGATCCCTATCCCTAAGATGGGCAAACCAACAGCGATGGCAATCTTAGGGGTAGGCCCTCAAAAACTGAGAGAACCCTTAAGATCGGTATCGAGGTAAGGTTTTTTGTATTTACCCCTCGGCTGTGCTGCGCCAGCTGCCTGAACAAGAACCCTGCCAGAAAACCTGCACTACTCGAACTCATGCTCCCACGAGGAACTGTGGCACGATATCGGTGCTTTAAGAGCCTGCAGCCCTTGGATCAACTGCTGGAGGCTCCCTTCACAGTCGACTACGCATGACAGCGCTAGCAAACCTTTCCCGAGGCCTCCTACCTCCGATATCGCGGAATCGTCAACAAAATCGCAATAAAAAGCAGCAAACACATTAGGGATGAGACTGTCTCCCACCCCACGGCGCAGCACGAAAGCCGAACCGCCGCATCCGTCAGCGCGCCTCCCCCCGTCGCTCCACAACACCAGGTTGGACTCCGGGCACTCCCGACTTAGCTGGTCGAAGTCGGGGTTACAAGCCACGAATCTCTGACGATGATTCATGGCCCAGTTGCAGAGACCATCAGCTTCCTTGTTAAAGTCACGAGACCTCCACACGATGGAACCTGTTCATCGCTGATGGGGCTCCAACCCTGGACTCCGCAAATATGCACTAAAAGGTCAGAACAGGAAGGGGGATGTGAAGCACACGCTGGGATGACTTCGCGTGCCCACACAAATTATCAGCGAACATTTGGTTGTCCACTACCGCCCGGAATCGTCTATGAGGGGATTGCCACTGAGGCCCGAAACTCACCAACACCCCCCACCACGCCCCCGCCAAGCCCCGGCATCCGCACCCTGGGAGAGCTCAATTTTTGGGACCCCCCACACGACAATTTCTCGCCCGAAACTCACCAACACCCCCCACCACGCCCCCACCACGCCACGGCATCCGCACCCTGGGAGGGCTCAAATTTGGGAGCCCCCACGCCACAAATTCTGACCCGAAACTCACCTACACCCCCCACCACGCTCCGGCATGCGCACCCCGCGAAGGCTCAGGGTTCGGGACCCCCCAACGACAATTTGCCAGAAACTCACCTACACCCCCCACCACGCCTCCACCACGCGCTGGCATCCACACCCCCTGAGAGCTATGTTTTCCCCCACATGTTTCGTAAGGTTCTGGTTTTTTCCCTGCCGCGCCGCACCCGCGTCTCACACCTCCCCCCTCCCCTTTTCCTTCTCGCACCAGAGCGGGTGTGCAGGGGGGTGGTCCATGAGCTCGGCCGCTATGCACGATGGTCGTGGCAGGCGTGGCATTTCCTCGACGCCACAGGGGGTGCGCTGAGGGTGGGGGCCCTATGCGCTGCAGGCTCCCAGGGCGTGGCAGGCGTGGCATTTCCTCGACGCCACAGGGGGTGCGCTGGGGGTGGGGGCCCTATGCGCTGCAGGCTCCCTGGGCGTGGCAGGCGAGGGGGTGCGCTGGGGGTGGGGGCCCTATGCGCTGCAGGCTCCCAGGGCGTGGCAGGCGTGGCATTTCCTCGACGCCACAGGGGGTGCGCTGGGGGCGGGGGCCCTATACTGCAGGCTCCCAGGGCGTGGCAGGCGTGGCATGTCGTCGACGCCACAGGGGTGCGCTGGGAGGTAGGAGGAGGAGGTAGAGGAGGAGGAGGAGGAGGAGGAGGAGGAGGAGGAGGAGGTAGAGGAGGAGGAGGAGGAGGAGGAGGAGGACGGGGAGGTGGGGCAGCAGCAGCGGCGGCAGCAGCAGCAGCTGCAGCAGCAGACGCAGCAGCAGCAGCAGCAGCGGAAGCAGCAGCAGCAAAAGCAGCAGCAGGACACCGAGGAGGAGAAGGAGGAACAGCAGCAGAAACACCGATGGTACACATAGGAAATGAAATAGGTATGTGGGGTTCCTCGGTAGCGTAATTGGGGCCCCCCACGCGCCAATTTCTGAGCCGAAACTCACCGACACCTCCCACCACGCCCCCGCACGACAATGTCTGGCCCGACACTCACCAACACCTCCCACCACGCCCCGGCATCCGCACCCCACGAGAACTCAGTTCTTGGCCCCCCCCACGCGACAAATTCTGGCCCCCAAACTCACCCACACACCCCACCACGCCCGCACCACGCCCCGGCATCCAACCCCGGGAGAACTCAGTTCTTGGGGCCTCCCACACGCCAACTTCAGGCCAGACACTCACCAACGCCCCCCAACACGCCCCCACCACGCCCCGGCATCCGCACCTTACGAAGAGTTCCGTTTTTTGTTTTGCGACCCCCCAGAAACGGCCAACGCCCCCCTCCTCGCACCCTTCCTCACCCTTTTCCTCTGCCCGACACCCCCACCCACGGAATCGCCCTCCTCCTCCTCGCCCGCCTCCTCGGCTCGACACCCCCACCCACGGAATCGCCCTCCTCCTCCTCGCCCGCCTCCTCGGCTCGATGCCTCCTACCTGGCCTTCCCCCACCCACGGAGACTCTGTTATTGCCCCCCTCCCCCCCCCTCGATTTCTCGCCCAGAAGCGACCCACGCCCCCTCTCCTCTCCCTCCTCCTCGCCCTCCTCCTCGCCCCCACCCCCACCCATGGAACTCTTGCTCTTGGACTACCCCACGCCGCGATGTCTTTACCAAAACACGCGAGCGCCTCTCTCCTCGCCCTCCTTCGTCCGAGACCCCCACCTACGGAACCTCTGTTCTGGGGCCCCCCCGCCCCACGATTTCCGTTCCAGAAGCGGCAAACGCCCTCCTCCTCCTCGCCCCCCTCCTCGGCCCGACACCCCCACCCACGGCACCTCTGTTCTTGGGACCCCCCACCCCGCGATTTCTCGCCCAACAATGGCCAATGCCCCCCTCCTCGCCCCCCTCCTCTGCCCGACACCCCCTCCCACGGAATCTGTTCGTGGGACCCCCCACTCCACGATTTCTCGCCCAGAAACAGCCAACGCCCCCCCTCCTCGCCCCCCTCCTCGGCCCGACACCCCCACTCACGGAACCTCTGCTTTTGGGACCACCCCCCCACGATTCCTCGCCCAGAAACGGTCAACGCCCCCCTCCTCGCCCCCCTTTTCGGCCCGACATCCCAACCTACGGAGACTCTGTTCTTGGGCCCCCCACCCAACGATTTTTTTCCCAGAAACGGCCAACGCCCCCATCCTCTCCGCCTTCCTCGCCCTCCTCCTCGGCCCGACACCCTCACCCACGGAAACGCCCTCCTCCTCGCCCCCCTCCTCGCCCGCCTCCTCGGCTCGATGCCTCCCACCTGGCCCCCCCCCACCCACGGAACCTCTGTTATTGCCCCCCTCCCCCCCCCTCGATTTCTCGCCCAGAAGCGACCCGCGCCCCCCTCCTCTCTCTTCTCCTCGCCCTCCTCCTCGCCCCCACCCCCCACCCACGGAACTCTTCTTCTTGGACTACCCCACGCCGCGATTTCTTCTCGGCACCCCCACCCGCGGAACCTCTGTTCTTGGGACCCCCCACCCCGCGATTTTTCTCCCACGAACGGCCGGCGCCCCTCCTCGCCTCCCTCCACGGCCTGACACCCCCACCCGCGGAACCTCTCTCGGGGGCCCCCGCACCACGATTTCTCACCCAGCATCGGCCAACGCCCCCCGCCTCGCCCTCCTCCCCGCCACGATTTATCTGTCAAAAAAACCACCCATGCCTCTCTCCTCGCCCCCCCCTCGCCCCCCCCTTGGGCCGACGCCCCCGCCCGCGATTTCTCGCCCAGCAACGGCCAACGACCCCCATCCTCGCCCCCCTCCTCGCCCGCCTCCTCGGCCCGACATCCCCGCCCACGGAATCTGCTCGCGGGCCCCCCCACTCCGCGATTTTTCGCCCAGAAACGGCCAACGGCCCCCTCCTCGCCCCCCCCCCTCGGCCCGACACCCACACTCACGGAACCTTCGTTCTTGGGGCCGCCACCCCACGATTCCTCGCGAAGAAACGGCCAACGCCCCCCTTACAGAAGCGAGGGGACTCACCGAGGACGTTGGCCAGGGCCCGAAATGCCGAGGCGCCCCGTGTGTCCTCGCGTGCCAGAGCGGCGCCGCCGAGCGCCGACTGCGACGGTCGCGACCATCGTCGTCGCCCGGGGGGGGGCCGGCAGCAGCGGAGTCGCGCCGGTAGCTGCGCGGCTTGGTCAGC